TGTGCGTGTGTCACCGCCCAAGGGCGGTTACGCAGCTGGGACAGATAAAACTGTATATCTCTGCGCGATGCAGAAAGCGTAAAAGTTATACAACGTTAGATTAAGTATATGTAAAAAAAAAACTTATTAGAAGGGCATACCTTGAAGTTGAATCACAGATGTATAAAGTTTCGCCCAGAGAGACGTCAAAAGACCTCCTCCATTGCAGTCGCTAAGAGTAGTCTGGAAAGGAGTGACTGTGTTGGGTGGGGTTTCTGTTGCGAAATGCAGGAACCGGTTTGACAAGAACTGGCCCAGGTACTGCAATCTCCATAAACACCAATTACATATCCAAAAGGTACGACGGGAATTCCCCGAAGAAGTTTCAAATTACATACAGAAGCCATAGTTCTGTGGTCAGCCGCTTCAACGACGAAGTTTACAATACAAGACCCGAACTTTATATTTCGTTTTTTTTATCAGTGACGACGGGAGTATTCTATCAATCAATATTAATGTAAACAGTAATTAGTACAAAAGCTGTGTAGTGTAGAAGTCGAGCACTGCGTTTGTTGTGTCTGTTCACTGTTCTTCTGTAAGATCTTCTACTGACTGATTCATACTATTCTTACACAATATACATTACATCATACACGTGGAACGACCGCGACACGGCACACAAATCCACTGTTACTTCTCAGAGTTGAAAAATAGAGCTATTTCACAGCTATATGTAGGAGAAATGGCACCGACTCCCGAGGAATCCCAGTTAAATTGTCATTTTAGATAGGAATAAAACCAGAGAAAAGATATCCCACTGCGATTGTCTTGCACTCTATAGCATAGTGTTTAGACTAAATAGACATGTACAAATACTTGATAGACAGCACGTTTAATTGGCCTGTTAACGTTATCATTATATTTAGGTAATGACGTTACGTAGTTAAGTTTATCATAGGTCAGTGATGCCGAATGAGTTACGTATGCCATGTTGTACTGAGGCGCCGATGGGTTTTGTCACCATTTCGTATGATTACAACGAGGACGTTCTACCAAACCCCGTCACAAAGAAAAGAGCGTTACAGTCGCGTGCTTTTGTCCAAAATATCAATCATGTAAACTTTATTCTTAATTTGATTTATGGGCTTCTTTTGCAACTGAAAGCTTGTATATTTTTACATGTTTACATGTTGTCACGACTTCATACCCTTTAACAGCCCAATATCAGTCCCGGCTGCAGCGAGAAAAGTGGCAAAACGAAGCTTTATCTAACATTTACCTTTATCCTCTGGGCATCCCGAAATTTATACGAACATGCGAAAAATTATAGCTGGGCAAAAAAGTTTCCTTCATTATGAAGTTCAAGTGGTCGGGACGGCTAGAACTGTTTGCCTGTAATGAGCCGCTTGGTGGCGCCTTTTGTGTAGATGCACCAGGATATCAAACTGAGATTGGACTGTCTCAGCCGGCAAAACAATTTTTGCAATCCACAAGGGCATGGAGTCAAAGGTATCTTAAGGAACAGAAAATATGTTCAGATACCAAATACTAGTACCCAGACTAATGAGTACATCATACATTTAGACTCCGGAGAACAAGAAGTCGGAGATTTCAGACCTCCGGGCCCGGAAAGTATGTTAAACCGATTTTCATGACCTTGAAGTTCACCCCATTTCCTGTATATGACACTTTGACCTGTCATTGTGCCTGTCAATTGCCCTCACCCACGTGCTGTCAGCCTACTTTGTGAAGACACACAGGCATACAAACCCACGGCTCAGTTACAATTTTTTCAGTTTGTGCCAGCGAAGAGCGAGGTACATGTTCGGAACATCGTTCACTCTGGATATTGCAGAAAATTCTCCACACAGGGGCATTCTTTGGCTTATCCACTGTTCAGTCAGATGTAAAAAAATATGGTTATATGCGTTTCTGACACACATTATTATCTTTCACAATTTACCTAGTCACAAACCACACAGAAAGTATTTCTCCAGACTAAATATGTCCCATTCTGAATTGCAGGAATGTCATTCCCTGCAGCTCCCAGACTAGTTTGGGCAACATATTGATGACACTATTTTGAATTATTTATGATCTTGATATGGTTATTCAAAGGTTAGGAAACGGCGGGGTCAAAAGAATTTTATGTATAACGGTAAATGATAAGTAGGGCTCCAAAGCTTCTCTGTTTTTACATGTAGCAACCACCAGTGACTATTCCATTACTGATAAAGCGTTTCGATTTTGAAATTGCCTCAGCAATAAAGATACAGTTTTTTTTCATGAACATAAAAAGATTTTCGGAAGTAAAAATACGGCGCTATTTTTACATTCACGGGATAACACATCAATCTGGTCATTTGATCAATTTTCTCTAACGTACTCTAAATGTCGGTGTTTATTGTACACGATAAGTTAAAGAGGTTGTCCTGAATTATTAATGGTTTCACCCGCATTGCGTCCGCCTGACCTTCTGGATTGTAGAACCTACATGTTGTTTCAGGCAACCATTCTTCCACGGCCATGGTAGGGCTGGATTTCTGCTGGAATTCACCACTATCCTGAATATCACATTCCACTGTCCTTGCTTGGTGGAAAATTCTATAACCAACTTGGAGTTGATTCAACTTGGAGTCACATGACAGTGGAACGTGAACTTCTATAATGACACAGCGTGAAGAAGTGTACCCATTGTCCTCAAATGTCACACGTCAATTACAGTATAGACGTTACCAATAATATCTCTCTTGTTACTTTTATGCTTGAATTTCAGAGCAATTCATGGTTATATCAGTCTAACCCGCTTGAAAATCTTTGAGAGGTTAATCTTGAAACAATTGCAACTTAGGGAATAATCCGAATATGACTTTCTTTAAAATCAAATTCACTCCATTCTGGCCAAACAGACAAAACATTACGGCTGTTGACGTGGTAGTTTCGAAATGAAATGCGCGAAAAGTCAGATTATCCTAATCAAGCTGAACAATCCACTGACTTCCAACCATGGATCACTATAATCAAGATGCTAATGAACCTAACTGGCACCAAATATCGCCCATATGTTTTGTAATGCATGTATACGGCGCACAGTCAGCAATATGTTGTGGCTATTCAAATAGTGACTTGTAACAATATCATTATTTCAGTTTCATCAAATTTTTGTTTGATGTTAGTTATGATAAAAGAAAGAAAGAATGATGTAATCTGCCCGTTTTCACCCGTGATGAGTACCCAGGGGACAACCTGGCGAGCTGTGTACCAACAAGGCGACATAACTACCATCTTACACGCACAGGTATCATTAGAAAGGTGGTGTAAATGATTTTAGGGTCAGTCAGCACGGACATATGAGCCTTCCCACTCTGCGCTATATTTGGCTTCTCGATATGATTTATTTTTCCAGTTGTTTGCCCAAATATGAACCCCCCGGTTATGGTTTTATTAATGGCACAGCTGTATCGGCCCCTGGGGAGCACCATATATGAGCAGAGGTGCGTTGCGCGTGCGTGATGGCTTTGTTTCCGTGTACCATCATCGCCCAGGCGTTATAATAACCTCTCGGCCTTATTCTCATGACTGCAGTCGCCTTGTTGGCAGCATATTGTACATACAATGGGTTATTCTCTTCAACGTTTTCTATCTCGCGTGGACGATAACCTTCTCTGCGGGATATGTGCTGCCGTTCTAAAGGACGCCGTGGTGACACCGTGTGGTCACAGCTTTTGTGAGCACTGCCTCGACACATGGTTGAACCAAACAGAGCGGCGGACGTGTCCCGAGTGCCGCACGGGCATGTTGCCGCACGAAGCCCGCCCAGTCATCGCGCTGAGGAGCCTCATCAGCGGTCTCAGCATCGAATGCGAGCACCGAGAGCGGGGATGCAGGATGGTGGTGAGGCTGGAGGACGAACAGCGACACCAAGCGGAATGCGGGTACAGTCCAGTGCAGTGTAACACCTGTGGTGACACCTTGGACAGGTATAGACTGGCCAACCACGAGCTTCAATGTTCCAAAGAGAAGGAGGAAAAGAGCAAAGTCGACTTCCTCACGAGACGAAAGAATAGCGCAAGTGGGAGATTCGACCTAGCGCTTTCGGAACTGGCGTGCCGGGTAGCCACGTTGGAAGTGCAGCTGAAGCAGACAAGACATGAACTTGAGATGTCCCGCGCACGGAACCGCAGGCTTGAACGGGAACTGCAGAGGAGAAAGTCTGAACTTCAGGCACAGAAGTCAGAGATGCGGGGAACATCCTCGAGATGTGACGCACAGCTGACGAGTTTTGAGTCGGCCTCGCAGCTGTCCCAGTTCATCTCGCGTTACCTCCTGATCAAACCACACTACGTCAACAGGGACCACGCCTTCAGGAGTATCAGGGACTACTTCGACCACTTCATCGCTGGAGGAGAGGGGCTGTACCACAACGATGTGCACGCTCTTGTAGCCACGGCATACGCAAGCAACTGGTTCTCTCCTTCCCAAAGACTTTGTATACAGCAATGGCTCAGAACCTTGTCCAGGCGATCTCAGGAAATAACGGGCCATAGGACAAACATGCCTGACATACTACCTCTAGCTAGTTAACCCATTACCACTTACGTCTTGAGTACGATACGTTTCAACAAGTGCATGAATGAATGGTAGTTTACTACGTGCTATTGAGTGAAGTCTGTGAATTGAAGCTGTTAATTATATACTAGTATTAATCCTTTTGCATGGTATATCAGGTGACTGTCATAGGATTAGAACCAATAGGTTGATATCCATTACATCTCCATCTACTTCCATGTAATTACAGGTGGAATCAGCAAAGTTTTAGAAAGTCTTCGTTTGTGTGCACAGTAGGTAGTATTATCAGCACTGAATTAGAAAATATGCTGATCGATGAAAAACTGTAACACTGAAGGTCATGGAGATATGTTTCCCTCGCGCTTATTCTCCCTGGACCAAGTGAGTGAAAGGTGCCTTGTACCTATGAATAATTTGTTAACATTGCTAGCTGAAAAGCAAAGCCTTACGACTTTATTCCCTCTGGCTGTTTTGATATGTCAATGCACACAAGCATTTTAGACTAAACATGGGAAATACATGGATGTAGATTCATACCGAATGGCCCAGTAATATCATTGAAGTAAGAATATTCTGCTTTTTGTCAGTGATGATCATGTTGTCCCAGTCGTGTGGTGGTGCTCTCTCTGTCTATGCAAGTGAAAATTAAAACCACTTTCTACACTGTGTACAAGAGCATCCTTTTGGGTTACTTTTGTTTGTCTTCATTTGTAGACCTGTAGATGAACAAAAGGTACCAGATTGATGTAGGTGAAAATATGGCACCACATGCAGAAACTAACAAGGACGGCAATAAAAATCATCACCATGGCATGTCCATGGCGACGATTGAATGTAAATTATTAAATCTGAATACTGTTTAGAAAAATATGAGTAAGGAGGTCTACAAGTGGGGTATGGGGAAGAGTAAGGAGGTCTACAAGTGGGGTGTGGGGAAGAGTAAGGAGGTCTACAAGTGGGGTGTGGGGAAGAGTAGGGAGGTCTACAAGTGGGGTGTGGGGAAGAGTAGGGAGGTCTACGAGTGTCCTTTCTTGCTTTGACCAAAGATCACACAGCCAAAGGCTACGACAAAACCCCAGGGAATGCATTCGTACAATTTTTGAAACTCTTTCAAAGCGATCTCAGTAGTTACACAAATGCCTCCGCCCATAAGGCATCACCAAAAACAGGACTCAACAATACATTTCTTACACTAACACTTGTATTGTTACTGGCATATATAATACAACAGATTTGGCTCAGTAGTAAGCAGAGTAGGACACACACACACTACATCATGGTTTCTAGATCACCAACAATCAAAAAGTTTGGGGTCAGAAAAGCTTATGCAGCAGCCTGAACTATATTTTCACAAACTCATTTTCTGTCAAAAGTGTCTATTATTTAAACCCATGGTGACATAAAATGTTTATTTGGCTGTACAGGAGTATTAGTTGAAGTTAACACAACATACCTTTGCCTTGACACCAAAAGTGTAAGATGATAAGCATCCTATAGTTGGTCCATTTCTCTCAACACAACCTGCAGATTAATGCAGCTAATATCTTTAACATTTTGTCACAAACTTAATTCTCTTTAATCTCAGGATGCTCACCTTCTATTTCACAACTAACCAAATGTCACAAAAAATTGTTTCCATTGCCACCTTTTGTCTTAAAAATTGAACCACCAATACTTCTCAGAAGGAATGGCCCTGAATAGAAATGTTATTTTGGCTATGCAGAAATCCTTAATATTAGCAGGATGCTTACAATCTATACACATTACTACCATGCAATTCAAACACAATAGCCTTATAACTTCTACAGTTAAAACAATTGGACTACATTGGCCAGAGCATCAACTCTGACGCAAATGTGTGTACCACTACACCACACCAACTGCACAGGGTAAAATGTATCTATTAAAGAGAGAGAGAAAAAAAAATTATGTACAATGTACTGACAAGTGCACAGCAAAGAGAGGTTGAGATTGCTGTAAACTAAGCCAGTATACCACGGTATTACCACCCAACCCTGCCTCATATACGTAACAAGAAAAAAAATATGCCTAATTTTTTGCACATCTCCTTAACTACTTGTCAAAAAAACATACATTGCCTAGGTTGACTTGCAAGAACATTAGTGATACTTTCATAGATGTGGTATTTTGACAAATAAACAACATACAAGGGAGGGTTGGGTAGCCATTAGAACATCACACGATCCTGCAGAAGGGTCTAGGAACACAAGGCATATACAGAACATTCACTAATTAAACATTAAATTTTAATATGAAGAAAATCAGGGCCACCAAAATACAATCAGTTATCAAGTAAGTTCAAACTGAGGCAAACAGCTCGAAACCTTCAGCACAGAAAAATTGTTGAACCAAGATTAATCTGCAACACTCAGGTGAACTAGCTTTACTCCAGAATTCGTAAGTGTACTCACTGTTTACAACAAGAAATCTATACATTCACTTTGTCTGTCAGCATTCCGTAATTTTCAGAAAATCTTCAGAATTACGAGTACTAGAAATTGTATTCCATGCGACCCTGTGGTCTTAACTGTTTGTTTGGCAAACACAATGAATTAAAACAGTATTTATTTCTGTCCACTAAAATAAGACTACATGTGCACTAGCTTGCCAGTTAGGCACACAACACACTTTTATGCACAGTTTATGTCTATTACTCAACTGAGCAAAAGTATTTGTAGCTTTGCTATGAAGGCTGAGAAGATAAAACCTGTCATTTTTTACATTATATGGGGAGTGATGACTTCACCATGGAATACTTGAATGATCTTTAAGCTCCACAAGACTGCATGGTTATCATAGCTTTCAGTTCATGTATATAAAGTGCTTTAGATACTGCACATTTTACATAACTTATTAACTACACATTAGCTTCCACCACTATAAGGTTGTCTGCACAAGACAATATTTTTACATGAATGTGTATTATAAGATATAAGATGTATGAAAGACACAAAGTTGTTTCTTGCCAGTAACAACTGCTGAATCAACAGGAACTGGTGGTTAATATATTTGATTTTCTGATTGCTTAACCCTTGTCCTGCGGGGCCCATATATATATGGGTTGCACATACAGTACCATCTATATAGGGCCTTGTATATGTACGATTTGGGGGTGTTTCTCGTGTAACGCATCACACCGCAGCGAAACGCAACGAATGCGGAAGTAACTACGCCACCGCGGGGCAAAAAAAGTCAAGGGTCTGTGACCTGATTAAGACATGATATTATTTGAAAATATTGTGTAAAAATTGCCAGCAGGACAAGGGTTAAAACACATTCTATTCATCTGGGAACTACGGTCTGGTAGCTATGCATCCTTGTCGAGAAGAGTTTGTACAAGTAACAGGACAACTCTAAAGCTTAACTGAAAGCAAGGCTATAAGAGTCAATTACTAAACCGCTCACAATAAATGTCAGTCCAAATGTGACATTCTGGGAACCATACACCTTGTTATGTTCCAAAACTTCTACTAGTTCAAACAATATGACCGTAAGGGTTCAGTAAAATCCATATCAAACAGCACACATCAGCAGATAGAGTAAATATCTCCCTGCCAATATCACAAATGTTGATTACAAATGTCCATCTGATAACCAATAACCTCACATACATGCACAACCACATGCCTCCAGGAGTGTCTTAAACCATAAACATAGTTCCAGATCCTGATCTTACCATATTCAGCTGAACTAAGGTTACTGGTAAGTAACATTGCCAGTGAAGGTGCCTGGCCATGGCCTGGCAATGAACTGCTGAGGCTGTGCCTGGGTGGAGACAGCTATGGGTGAGTGACAGCGACCTGCTCGGTGGTGGAGACGACTGTCTGGACAGCCTGGACGGCCTGCTGCACCTGCTGCACCTGTTGTACCTGCTGCACCTGCTGCTGCTGTGGAGGGGTGGGGGCGGGGCTGATGGGCTGTTGGATGGTCAGGGTCTGCTGCTGGAAGTGTGTTGGGGACTGGCGGATCTGGCTCACGTCCACTGTCACTGTCCCCTGGGACTGGTCAGCTGTCTGGATGCTGACCGGCACTACCTGATGATGCACCAACTCACCTGTGGACTGGAACACAATTGGAACATGGGACTGGCACTCTACTACCACATGCTGTCTTTGCACTGACTCGTTTCTGACATTGTAGTTTGTACTCAAGCTGAGACAACCTGTTGCTTTTAAGTTGCATAAGCACAACAAAGTTATTCACACGGCATTTTTTTTACATTAAAACTTACATGACAAGCAAACTTATGTACTGCATTCACCGTACACTAGCTCACAGCTCACCCTAGAAAAGTGTGCATGTTTCCTACCTGTGTGGTGACGACCCTGTGCGCTGCAATAGTCTGGTACTCTGCAGGCTGTGGCCTGTATTCACTCAGGGTCTGGGACAGCTCACTCATAGCCTGGGTCAGCAGGTCTGCAGCCTGAGGGAACACAACAGTACAATCCTTATACACCAACTCAACAGCATCTCTGTAAATTGCATGTTATAGATTAAAGCACGTAGGTGGATTGAAGGCAGTCAAGTTTTCTGGCTGAAAGTTGCTGGGACATACCCGCATGGTCTCACTAGGAACAGGAATAGCCTGGCCAGTGGTCTCCACAGTGAACCTCTGAACTGTCTGCCGTGCCACATTGGCATCTTGTTGAGGTGCTTGCACCACCATGTGCTGGGGGATGTGTTCCAGCACAGCTTCCTCACTGGGCTCATTTGGAGGTGCTGTACACAAAACAGGAAATACAGCATATCATTCTATGTTCTATAGATCACTGGTGTCCATGAAATCTACAAGCACTTAAATACATAGTCTATTTTCCCCCCAACCATTTAACACAGTATAGCTGTTGCTTAAGCCACCACCGCCTCAGTTGTACCTACCATCATATCTGACGATGACTTTGTAGGTCAGGTCTGCTGCTGCAGCCTCAGCGATGGCCTGCTGAGCTGCTGGGGTGATGGGCACAGTCGGAGCAGGCATGGGGATGGCCGTGCCCACCAGCTCCGCATGCTTCTTACGGATGTGCTGCGTCATCTTCGCCTTGCTGCTGTACTGTTTGGGACAGTGAGGGCAGCAGACCGGGGCGGAGGCGATGGTGCCGGCAGTGCCTGTGTGGGTGTTGATGCTGATGTCCTGGGGGTTGCGTCGCAGCTTCCTGATGCTGGGAGGCAGCTCTGCTCCAGGGTGGTTCTTCAGAATGTGGGCCTTGCGCTTGCTGCTGCTTTTGTAGACCTGCGATTGAAACAAATCTCAGGATTAGCTTGCTCTACTGATACTCCTGATTGTAAATTAGGAATTATATTTATTGTTATACACAAAAACTTAGATGTCATACAGCCTATAGTTTTAAAGTGTTATAAATTTGTTCGAGAGTAACAAGGACGGGCTGACATCCAAACATTCTAATCATATCACAAGTTACCTTTTCACAATACTGGCAGAAGTAGTCCCTGTTTGGCTTGATGATGGGCAGGGCCAGTTCTGGGATACTCTCTGGGCGGGTCTCAGGATGACGCTTGGCCAGATGGTTAACCAGCATCCCCCTGCGCCGGAATCCCAGCATGCACCCGCGACACTTGAAGGTGAAGCTGTTGTAGTCACTGGGGGGAGTCTTGGGCTTGAAGGCCTTGGGCTGCAATGGTACAAACATCACACTACTGTGTCATTCTAGTCATGCGGAACAGGTAAAGGCTTAAACTAGAGACTAACATTTTTAACATCTCCAACCTCACAAAGGGACAACTTACAAACTAGTTCATATTTACATATAACTAGATGGCATATGACCAGCATGTAATAACGTTACCTTGTTTGGTCTGTTGGCGTTCCTGGCCTCCCTCTCTGGGTTGTGCATGCGGAGCATATGTTCCTTCAGCTTGTCCTTGCGCTTGAACTGCTTGCCACAGTTGGCACACAGGAAGTCCCGCCGGTCCGAGTGCTTCAGCATGTGGAGCTTCAGCTTGTCCGGACGTGGGAAGGCCTTCTCGCACACCTGGCACTGGTACATCTTGTCGGAGTGGAAGCTGCGGATGTGCTTCCGCACCTGCACAAACTCGGGGAATGTCTTGCTGCAGGTTGGGCAGGAGTACACGCCATCCACGGCATGGACGGGGACGTGCTCGCGTAAGGTCTCCGTACGATCAAACCCTTCATTGCAGAAGGGGCAGGCGTAGTACTTCTTCCCGCTGTGGGTCTTCCTGTGACAGGCGATGGCTGAGTTGTTGAGGAACCGCTTGTTGCAGACCTCACACACGATGGGCCTGTCTTCTTCGTTGACATGGAGCAACAGGTGCTTGTCCAGTTTGTCAGAATCTCTGAAGGCCTGGAAAGAAGTCAGTAAAAAGAACAATTGGCATTGAATCTACTGGCATTTGTCACAAAATATTACATATTCAGCACTGATGCTTCAGCACTTAAATTGTCATCTATTCCAATTTCAGTCATCTGCATCAAAGGAGACTTTATATAAAAAAAAGGAGAGAAATCTCAGTACAATATTGTAGCCCTGGTGGTAAAGGACACGACACAATTATCTTCTATTCAATGTGCCAAGCAAGTAAACAGACTCAAGAATGACAGCTCACCTTCCCACATTGGTCACATTTGTACAGACTGAGGGCCCGCCGGGTCACCATGCCATGGGCACTCTTGACCTTGCCATGGACAGTGGAGTGGGTCACCAGGTCCCTTTTCTGTGACAGACCATACGGTTTATTACAGGTGGCAACAACATTATAAAAAGGAAGACTGCAACAGCAGGGTTGTGAGGTTAGCCATCTGTACGTTTCAGATCTCGCTTTTAAATCATCATGTCTACCATACATGCAATTCCCATATACATTGCATTATTTAAGCATATACTCGGGTACAAAGGCGTGAAAGATAGACATCACACCTGCTGGAATGTCTTGTCACAGTCAGGATCAGGGCACTGTATGTCTGCCTCTCCCCTCTCCTCATGTCGGCGCATGTGGTACTTCAGGGCCTGCTTACTCCCCAGACTCTTGTTACAAACATCACAGAGAAAGTTCTTTCCCAGGGCAGACTCCTAATGCAAAAACATCAGCAGCATGAGCAATCACCCCCAAAACATGCATACAAGCTGTAAGAAATCTAACAAATGAAAGACTGACACTGTGCACATTTTCAGTACTGTGGAAAAAGTATAGCCTTTAGACTTTCAGCTTTGGACCTTAATGCATAAAGCAACAGCAAATTTCTCCAAATACATGTATTACTAACACTGTGAGATTAAGTTACTGTCTACCTGCAAGACTGTATACAAACAAGACAAACAATTCTTAAGTATCTAATATTACTATTAAAGGAAAGAAAATTGCCAAAGTTTTCCACACAATAATGATGTAAGAAAGAAGATCAATGTAATCAATGAAAGTCATAAAGATCTAACGAACAGACTTCCCATTGGGAGAATGGTCCTACAAGAACAAGATGATAAAATGACTTAAAATTGCCAGTGAACAGTTTGAGATGATCTAGTCAGAACTGGCTGTCTGTTCTATACCCACAATTATCTGGTCATCATCAAAAAATGGACAAAGCTGACACAAATCAATGATTGAATATTTAGCCTATTGGTACCAGGTTAAACAAACATGTATTAAGAATAAGATACATACCATTCTCATCCTATTACTATAACAAGTACTGTATTTATTCTAACCAAGATTTTGTCATTATTTCTTATCATCAGTTCCTATGGTGCACACCTCTGTCTTGCTTGTCACACAGTAAGACTATGAGGAATATTACAAAAACATTCACAAGTAAATGATTCTTTAGTGCCTAATAAAAGACATTTAATGGACCTCCATAATTTCAATCCAAATTTTCAAGACCAAAAAGAAGGTTTGTAATACATCAAAAGCTGAACACACATACAACTTCAGAATATGTCTGAACTTTCCTGTGTAAAATACCAAGCTCAGAAACCAGCAGGCATGTAGAAGCAGGTAAGTGTCAACTATAACAGAAAGCAAGAATGATTGAGACATCACTACTGGACTGGATAAAGGAGTCTCTTAAATTTCTGTCTGTACTAAACATATCTTGCAACATGACGTTTACCTCTCAGGTTCAGGTTCATAGACAATGCCAGTGTCATCTAGCCTTACACCACAGGTTCTAACACAGCAATGACTTATAAATAAGTAACAAATTTGAGAACGTATCCTAGATAGTTTGTAACTTTATGCCCATATATCAGAAGTCTTTAACTTTTTTAGCAGATTTAATCCATTTCTTATAATCAAAGAATGGATTCACAAGGGAGTTGGGATCAAATTTAATCTGCAAATGTCCTGTTTAGAAAACCTAGATCACTTGTGACAGTTGCAGCGGACTTTCCACAACGATCATTCAAGAAAGGTGGACAGGGTGGATTACGGAAACCTACCCGTAGCTGTTCACTTGAGACATCCTGGTCATCATTAGCACCAGTCTTCACCGTGTTCTCATCATTGTCATCCTCATCATCGTCACTATCCCAGTCATCTTCACTCTCCAATTCATCTTCATCTAACTCCTCGGCAGGGTGACTTTGCACATGCAGCCGCAATAGCTCAGCACTCTCAAACACAAGAACACAGTGTCGACAGCTCCACTCCCTCTCTTCCTGCTCGTCCCTGGCCTCTGATGTGCCCTCAGACGGAGACTTGCCCTCCAGCAGCTGGTTCACTACCTCCAGACCTTCTCCCCGGTCCTGGTGCTTGCGCAGGTGACGTGTGCGGTTGTAGTCATGGGAGAACATCTTCTTACACACCGGACAATTGAACTTCTTCTCTCCCGAGTGCATGACCTGATGGCGTTGTAGACTATAGGCACGTAGGAAGACCTGCCGTGAAGGAGGATGTGCGTAATCCTTGTGTTCTCGCACATTAATCACTGACTACATCAGTGTAAGCAACAGCTAACTTGAGACAGCTTTCCTGTTTAATACCTTAGGTGCACAGGGGTGTAATGGTAGAAAAGTATTGCACAGACACCTTTACATTATGCCTTCTTTCATATTCCACCAGTTAGCGAAATGGATTTATAAATATCATTCCCATTTGTAGCTATCATCATGATCTCACAGTATTTTAATAGCCACACGTAAGAGAAACACAATCCTTGGACAAAGCTTGGACGGTGTGTGATATTTACTAGGTGTTTTAAAATTGCTTGAAGCATGAGAACAACTTTAGCGTTCAATAGTCAACAAACTTTTAAAATATATGTCCCTCTGAGAAAGATACAACAAAGTTTAATTCAATACCAATAACTGAAATTTTAAAGATCACAATGTTTTAACATGTTTGTTTTGTCTCTTCATGTCTCAAGTTCTCAACTAAGGCCCACTTTAGGCACAGATTTTTGTGACAGCAGTACTGGCGTCAGTGCAACTGGCGACAGCGGGAATGCCATGGGAACGTCGTTTAAAGAGAATTCCTGACAGTGTAGTTCTGCTGTTGTCAAATGACAAATTCTGCCAATGACAGTACTGCTGTCACCAGTACTGCTGCTTCAAAAATCTGTGTCTAAAGTGGGCCCAAGCCAAACAGTACCTGCAATGACATGTTCCTCACAATATAATTTGGAGTATATACTTACTAGATAGTTGGAGCCGAGGGAAAATAAAGGTGGAAAGGACTACCACCTAGGAAGTTTCTATGATAAGCTTTTTGATAATATACTGGTTATCTTTTTGCAACATAGGAAGCAAAGCATCTGCTTAATCAGCAACAAAACATGCAACTCCACTGATTATCATTCAAGCATAGACACGGCAGCATTAAAAAGCAATGTGGACATTGTACACATGTCAGACACAAATGCAGCAAACAAAAGCAGCTACCAAATACTATTACTGGTATTGCAAGCCACATGATCCTTGAATAGTGAAATGCAGAAGAGACTCAAGATAGAAGGACTGCAGGATAGCAACTGCTTGTCTTCCCATAGATGACTAGCCTCAGAACTACACATTATTCCTTAAATTATTATTTATGGATAATCTCAGAGTTTAATCTCACATTTTCAGACAACCTCACATTAGTAATCAATACTCATATTAACTTGTGAAATGTGACAAAAATGTTCTAGTGAAAATACTCATCTCATACAAGCAGCCAAGTAGTAGAGCTTCAGAGGACACAAAAACTCATTTATAAAATGTATATTGGTTGACACTCAATGTCAAACCAGTAAGAGGGGAAACTGATTTCTCCCATTTTTGTATTTTGTACTTGTTATTTTCTTGTGGACACAAAATTACTTTAGAAAAACTTACTGTTGCCAATATATGCAATTCCACCATCCAAATTCTTCATTTCCCTCCTTTTATCCTTTAGCTATGTCAGGAAGTCAATTTACTGTAGCCCCAAGTTATCTATCAAATATATTTGTGTGACACTGTGAGTAAGAGTCATCAGATACTGACCTTGTGGCAAACATCACACTCCAGGTTGTCCCTGTCTCCTGCTGGTACCTTCCTCCTCCGCCCACGTCGGCCTTTCCCCCACCGCCGGCGCCGAACCGTGATCACCTTCTCATGGACCGCCAGGTGACGCTGTAGTTGTTCTGAGGACATGAACTTTCTGGGGCATTCAAAACATGGCCATGTGGCTTCCCTCTCTCGCATTGCTGCAAGAAAAACACAGTACATGTACATAAGCCATTTAGAACACGGTCCCTTGATACAATTCTTTTTAGGTATTATGATACTTAAAGTGTTAAATCAGTATATGGAAAAAAACTTACTTAAAGGAAATAACAGTAGCATCTTTGAAATCCTGTAAAACCAGATCAAACTCACTTATGTTTTGGCCCTTACCTTCTTTCTCTTCCTCTGTGATCTCATGGACAGAAGCTCCCATGAAACTGGCATAAGTAGTGGAATACCACACCTGATGGAACAAGGGCAATGATCATTACGTACATATTCCTGGATACAATTACTTTATTTATAATGTCTGATTGTCTTGTCTCACACATAGGCTTGAAACTGTACATCACCATTTGCTGTACAGCACAACATGATTTATTGAGAATAATACAATACAATATAATTCAAAAGTCAGTGATGGTATCTTAAGTTCTGTCCTATGTCCACTTACCTTCAGCTCCTGCCTGGGCTCCACTGACTTGATGGTTGTGTAGAAGATCTCGTTGCCATGCTGGTAAGCAACAAGGTTCTGTTCCATGTGGTTAGCAGCTGGCTTGACAAACATCATCCAGTTACACTCATCCTCATTGGTCAGGTCGTAATACAGCTCTGGCTGATCAGCTGGCTGCTCGTCTCCCTCAGTCTTATGCTGTAGCTGTTTTGAACATCAATATGGGGTCTATACATGTTCACCTTACACAGCTTAGGAATGGATGGCAATTTTCATCTTCTTTACTTTGTGTTTGCTTCTATAAGCTTCTATGAACAAAGGTCTGAACAGTTAAAATCATCTTCATAAGATGATAAAGTGAAATGTATGACTTAATATTAAAATTTATTACTTGAACAAAGTGATCTGATGACTTAAATGTGTAGAATGTCACATCATAGCAGTGTTTGTAGCTAATTATACAAGAAACTTTCAATGTACACTCCGAGTCTGAGAGACAAAGAACAAGATATCCCACCACACCTTGAGGAGGAAGGTGCCTTCTGGAATTTCTTCCTTGTGGAGAAGCTTGGCTTCCACTGGCCCAAACTGTGTACGTTTTGGGAGAGCCTTTGGTGAATACACCATGTTCAGTGGTCTCGCCTGACTTGGCCAGGAAGAGTTGGTTTGGCAAACTGGCTCGGGCCTTGGACAGGACTGGCTTGCTGGGTATGCGCTGCATGGGGCCATGCTTCTTACACTCCACACCATCCACACTGTTACAGTCTTCACACCCTATATCATCATAAAACAACCAAACTTTAGAAAAACTGATGTATAAATTTACAAATCTGATGATGCTATTAGACAATGGAGAAGCAGAAAGCTTTATGTCAAATTTCATGACAGTGGACACTGCATTGGTGGTCATCGTTCCATCTTTTATAACAATGATTGATGTCCTTGCTGTATTCCAATGTATTACTTGTTCTGAATATGAAGGTTACCAATATACTTACTATTGATACACTTCTGCTTTACAGTACAACAGGAATCTCTCTTTCAATAGCACATGTACATGTTTATTGTATGTGTACAATAATTCAACTTACAAAGATCCTCTGGCTCGTCTGCAAAGGGTGTTGTGTCCATGGCCTCTTCATCTATCTCATCCTTCATGCCCTGGACTGCTACCTGCTGGCCCCCCAGGTCACCAGCTGCCATGCTGGCATCGATGGCTACCTCCATAGTCTGCTGCTGTGGCTGTGCTACATGCTGTACTTGTGCAGCAGTCATGCTGGCATCAACAGCTATAGCAATGGTCTGTTGTTGCTGTTCTACCTGCTGTACTTGGCCATCAGCAACAGCCAATGTGATGGTCTGCTGTTGTGATTTTGCCTCTCTAGCCTCCTCTCCACCTTCATCAGAGATGTCACTCACACTGACAGCTGTGACAGTGGCCTGTCCTTGGGCAGCCTGTGCGTCAGTCACTTGCGACTCAACAGCCTGCTGAGCCTGATATTATGTCAGAAAAGGTACCTTTCAGTATACTGTTGAAGTTTCTTGGAGACTTAAAGCTTAAAGTTGTTTTTTCCCCAAATCACAGAGGTTAAAGAGACAGGATTTATTTTACTGTTACTAGCATTTTTCTATACTTCAATATAAGCTACTAAGGATTTACAAGCTTGGAAAAACGTTGATTTACCAAAAAGTGCACAAGGATGAGCTCAAGTTGTCCTACACTGAAACATGTTCAACCTACATACTACTACTTGTATATATACCTGTTCATAGGTGACTGCCTGGGCAAATGACACGGCAATGGTGGAGCCATCTGATGTAGTGTACTGCTGAGTCTGGGTAGCATCCATGGTGTGGAGCTGCTGTAGGTACTGAGTCTGTTGTGTCCCAGCTTCCTGAGACTCCTCTGTTACAACCTGCTGCTGCCACACTGTCCCCTCTTGATTCTCCATCATCTATGCACAAATGACAACAAAGCTTGATATGATAGCTATGCAACATTCAAAGCATGCTTCCTTTCTAATTTCAGCTAATTGATAACCATAGTATTACTAGTATTTGTATATCATATTTCTGTCTTAAATATGAACTTTCCTAGTAAACAAGTGTATATCCACAATTTCATATATACAACTGGGTAATTACCATCATGCATACTAGTGTTGTAATGCAAGACTAGCCATACTGGCCAGCGACATCACTATTAGTTTGCTAGATAGTTTACCAGATGTTATATAATACTGGGTTGTTATTTTCTATAACAATATGTTGGTTTTGAAATTATTGCTCAGTCACAAAAATGTGTTATGTTGAAATAGGCTGGCATTAATCAGCTGATTCAGTTCCAAGGTGACTTAAAAAAAGGGATTCAAACTGTACGTAGTTGTAAATTCTTAATTCAAAAGTGATAACATACATTGTAGAAGAAACAAACGTTCACACAAAGAGCACAATGTTACATTGTAAAACATTCTTTTAAAATTCCAACTTCAAAAATGTTTGGACATGGAGGAATTGGGAATGGCACTTTATGGCAAAGGCAGCTTAATTGGCAATGTATTTTCTGCTACCTGCAATATGCAAGTTTTAGACAATTTTAATTGAAAAATCTCTAACTTCTAAGGCGATGTACCTACGGCTGCCACACTGCAACCCCAGGTTGAATGATACTATCATATCTCCCATATGTCTGTAATTGTTTCTACAGCTAAAACACACCGCTCTTATGGTACACTACAAAAATAATTGTGAATGCACTTATAAGTTATACGTGTAAGTTATTGTTAACCTTGGAAAGCTGGCAACTCAGGCTTTAGGAAGTTTAGTAATATGTACAGTATGGTACTAGGGTAAAACTAAGTATCATACTAAGGTAAAATGTGATAAAGAGCCTGATTTTCGGGGTATGTTTCTACCTACACATGTATAATCATGATTTTTTTCTGCAAACAATAGTCAGTGTGTATTTCAAGACCTACATTAAAAAAAAAAACCAATTGCTTCAGATAAAAGTATCATGAAACTGAATTGATTCAAAATATGAGTAAATTACCCTGGCACCTTTATTTGATTCAAAATATCAATTTTATGAAGATCAAGCTGTCTTGGTGCAAATTAATAATTTAAATTTTAATGTACAGTAAATGTGCTGTCCAAGTGTCTTTTCCTCGTCTCCTGTTATATAAAATTTTCACGTTTCCTGACAATACATGTTGTTTTGCAATAAATTTGTTATCAAATGGGTAAGACAACAGACATTTCACTAGATCAGTAGATGGCTATGTAGCCAATTCCTCTAGTTTTTTCAACAGTCTGACTTGATAGATGTGGGGCAGCTGTAACTTGTGTGAATTTCTCTTCTAAAAATCTTGGAGAAAATATTTGCTTTGGCAGTCAGTACCATTGAGAAAGGGGCACTAGAGCCTATGATAGACAGATACAAATTATTAGCCCATTAATTGGGTATTTTTCCACAATTATACTATGATAACTAAATGTTAAAATGTAATCTGTGTGGTTGGGAGAATTCTCTCCAATGAATCTTTGAGTTTGACAAAATACTTGCTTCAGCACTGAATGACTGATGACTTTTAATTTTGCCGGGGCAAAAATTGGACCTCTGAACACATGCAGAGGGGGCTCTATAATACATGCTGGTCCTTTCTAATCGGCAGCTCTTGGTAAAATGGACGTAACGTTACATATCTGCCGTACTTTCACAAAATGCGCTGCACAAAGGACAAACATGGCTTCACTGCGCAATAATTTTGGGTCAAAACACAGATTTCATAAACTAAGCATCGTCCCCCTATCCAAGTCCCCCTAATGCCAAGTAACTAGTGTCCCTTTCCTGAAATGGCCCTGCCCCCCAAGGTAGCCGAAAATTTTCACATCGAGCGAACACCTTTCTGTTACAGTGGAATAGTCCCTATGTAGATGAAAGCATTTCCTACTGGCCAGAGGGGGGCGACAATAGACTTCTGCAAAGACATTGGCGGGCAACAAGGCTAAACCGGGCCGACACAGAATTACATGAAATAGCGAGTTCGGTCTGCCAAAATGCACAAAACGTGCAGTTTTGCGATCTAGAGAATGCATAGACGATTTAACCCTTATATATTTTTGGTCACGACCACGTCGAGCGAGCCAAACCAAGTCTGAACGTCCACAGCGCGGGACACAGGAAAGTGGGAGTGCACACGGGCACGGGTGGGGCGCAGCCCGCCTTTCAGCACGCAATTTTCCGGCATTTCCCCACATAAAATAGCATCTTTGCGGAAAGAAAGGTCAAAATATGTACATATGTGCACCTAATTATGATATATTGTATCAGCTATTACCTACATCGTTTTATCGGGCTCCCAACTAAGAAGAATAGCCCATAACTTACCTGTTTCAAAATGGAGAACGCAGCGTCCGCCAACACGTAATTAACATAAATCACATCTGTTTGCTTCCTCACTTGTGATTGGCGGATTGGCTACTGCCTTACTACTGTCGACCTTTTCACTTACAGATTATGCAGCTCATATGAGGGTAAGTCACAGATTTTATGACATATTCGATAAAATTACAAGTTTATGTTGTAAATCGTACTGTTAAGACTTGATAAAACGAGTTGGTCAATTCTTTTCGAAAGAAACACAGTAACAGCTCTTGATCAAACAATACATTCTTACAACAATTCACACCAATCACAGAGGGGGTTTTATAATCACGTGGACCCTGTGCATCGACAGAAAATAGCGCGAAGTGAGGCTTGCACAGACCAGGGCCTGTAACCAGAACCTAGCTACTTATTTGGCCCATGCCCATTTGAAAAATATGCAAGCTAAAATGGTTTCGTCAGAACCATATGTTTCGATTAGTTTGTCAACTTATACAGCAGTTTACGTTAGAAATGTTTTAATTGTTCAAATTGACAACATTGCAATGTTTCCCAACATATTCAGATTTTTCAGGTGTTTCCGCAGTAAAACTAGTTCCTAATTCGGAACCAGATGTGTAGTGATACATCAGTAGTTCTGTCAGCTGTTAGGCGAAGACCTTTGGCAGACCAGGTTGTGTTTATACCCAACGATCAAGGACGTCCTTATTGTCAGCAGGTGAAGTAAGGGGTCTGACATCTTTTAATACTGTGGTGTTTTGGGCTGATCAAGGACATAATGTCCTTGGGCTGATTTACCATTGCCTTACATCTTATGCTTCTTCGTATTTTCCTCCCTTAGCTTCAACATGAAGAAAAACCTTTCCCACCTCCTTGTTTTCACCACAAGGACCTTGCTTTCACCACATACTCATAATATACACGAGTATCATAATATGTACCGGAATAGCATAACTGTACATTACAGCGTTAATCTTATAGCTCAATACTAACTGTTAGTATTGTAACGTTAGATTGCTAATGAATAATGATGACAAAATACCAAATACTAGAGTTCCCCGATCTCATACCTTCGCCAAATGATGTTAATCTTTATGACTGACAAAGTTTTGATTAGATTATTCCCCCCTGATTTAAGAAATAGGAACCTAATTTTTATGAATTATATCATTTTATCATATATTCATAATCTCAACCAAAAGACAGTCTTATATATATTAACAAACAATGCATTCTAGCATTTCCTAATAAATTATTATTAATATATCATTTTATCATAATCTCAACCAAAACACAGTCTTATATTAACAAATAATGCATTCTAGCATTTTCTAATAAATTATGCATAATTGTCACATAATTATATTAAGCATCACGTAAGCTACCTACATACCAAAAATCACGACGATCCGTCAACCGGTTCTTGAGTTATCCCCTTTTGAATATTTTCAAGAATTTATCCCTGCAGTTCCAGAGCAAGCCGCTAGGGGGTCCAAACTCACGTCACTTTTTTCCCAGCACAAGAGCTACCTACCATCTAAATTTCATCACCATAGCATGTCTAGATCATGAGATATCAAAACCGGAAGTTCAGCTGCAGTACCATAACAAGCTGCTAGGGGGTCCAAAATCTAATCATTTTGAGGTCTCATCAAGACCTACCCACCTACCAAGTATCAAGACAATCCATCAAGGCCTTCTCAAGTTATCGTGTTTACAGACAGACAGACAGACAGACACACACACACACACACACATACACGAACGCCCCTGAAAACATAACCTTCTTGGCGAAGGTAATTATGACTTTAACGGACGCGTTATAACACTGTAAGTAACATTCAGATGTAACGTGTTATATTTTAATATAACGTTACATTTTGTATGTCATGTAATCCACAACATGGTCAACTAATAGCAAATCTCACATTGGCTGGTCATTGTGGTAAAAAAACCTGCCAGCTGGGCGGCATTATCAGATATTATCAATGTGTATGAGACTTATAACGTTAAGGCTACAGCTATTTTACAGGTTAACGTTACATGCTTTTAAACATAAAAATTTTTTAGATTCAATCTGAACCACTTATTATCAGTGTTGGTAACGTTAGTAACATTAAGTAAGTAGTTACATATGTACTTCGTTCATAATTGTCATGTACCAACACAGATTAACAATGGCAATGACAATTAACCTCCATGCTGAATCTTTGGAGTAACGCACAAGCTAACATAAACATTTTATTTCAACATGTTAAATCTCAGTTGAAGAGCTGTGATGGCAGGGAGTATTCCCCGCCCTGCCGTGCTGTCGGACAGTGACCATAACGGCTGTTGCTCGGATGGTGCGGAGTACATGACACTGGACTTTGGACCGTTTGAGACAGTCCATCGATGGCGCAAGCTACCCCCTTGTGATGAGTTTGTTGGAGCGCGGTCAGTATTGGATGACAATATATTTTATAGCTGTTAATGGCTTCATGTGTTATTAACTTCTTTTGTAATACTATATCTTATGTATTTATGTGTACACATCAGTATCAACATTCTTTCTTTCCAGGAGGAGCAAACACACAGTTGTTCCATACAAGGATGCTGTGTATGTGTTTGGAGGAGACAATGGGTAAAACACTACATTACTTTCTATATATTAACATTACTTGAATTCAAATACATGTATTAGATCTCATTTTCATAGGGAACGTTCCACCATGGTCATGAGAAAAAAATCATTCCAAACAAAAATTCTATATAAGATGCTATACTAATAGAAAAAGATGCATAGGTGCATCAGTTTGGTAATGTTGTTCCAATGTCTGTTTCAGGAAGAATATGCTGAATGATTTGCTGCGGTTTGATGTAAAAGACTGCTCCTGGGGAAGGTACGTGTTCATTGAGACAACGTCTATGTTACTTTTATTGGCAATATCTGACATGCTTTAATGTTCTGTGAATGTCTTCAATACATCATGTCACCTTTTATTTGATACCGGTATTGAGTGATGGTGCATTTAATAATATGTGATCACCATGTTTCAGGGCATTTACTACGGGCAGCCCTCCTCCTCCCAGATACCACCATTCTGCTGTAGTCTTTAATGGTAGCATGTTTGTATTTGGTAAGTACCGTAAGTTTGATAAATATGTTAAATTAATGAATACACAATGCCGCACGAGGTGGAAAAAGTTTGGTACCCAAGAATTCTTTTGCTTTCAAAGCACAGGAAATACTTGTTGCTGAATTCTTAATTTTTTAATAGTTGATGATGCCTGTGTTGCAACCAATTTGAGATTTTACAGCATCAACAAGCAATGTTTTTTTGTGTTACTGTAGGAGGCTACACTGGAGACATCTACTCCAACTCCAACCTGAGAAACAAGAATGATTTGTTTGAGTACAAGTTTGCCACAGGGCAGTGGGTGGAATGGCATATTGATGGCAGGTAAGGATGACAAGTCCTACTTCAGCAGGTAGTTCTATTGGTAGAAAACTACCCTTTAAAAAATGTTTTTGTCTTCTATATCATGCTGGTTTGTCATTGATGTTAATGATCTTGTTGTTATTGCCAGGTTGCCCCCTGCTCGTTCTGCCCACGGTGCCTCCATCTATGAAGGAAGTATGTGGATATTTGCTGGATATGATGGAAACACAAGGTAGATCAACATTGATAGGAAACTTGTGTCAATGTTAAAACTGCATCAGGATTTCTGGACCCATGGTCTGAATTTTTTTTACAGAAGATAGCAATGCATATATAAGCATTATTACATGTACATGTAAAGTTGAGCCAATTTTTCAAGGAGGGCGTCCATGTGTGGTTCAGGTGACTGAATGAACTACAGCTGTAATAACATTATATATGTTATGTTACCAGTATATATTTTACTTTTATAGGAGACGTTGTAAAATTGTCTATGATAACTTTTTACCATCCTACCATATGTGTTTAGCTTATGTACCACTTATTTGGGGTCCATACCCTTGTATTTAGGCTGAATGACATGTGGACTATCTCACTGACTGGAGAGACCAGACAGTGGGAGGAGGTTCACCAGCAGGGAGAGTGCCCCCCCACCTGCTGTAACTTTCCTGTAGCTGTGGCCAGGGACAGCATGTTTGTCTTCTCTGGGCAGAGTGGAGCCAAAATCACCAACAGTCTCTTTCAGTTCCACTTCAAGGAGAAGAAGTAAGTAGCACAGTATCATGTTGTTCTTCTACACTTGTATATATTGACTTGCTCATATAATGTGATCTTTTAATTTGACCTTCTTCAGAAACACCATAAGCCGTCACGATTTGGGGCTGCAAAGATCTTACAAAGTTCTGTTTTGTTCTGTAGATGGGAGCGTATCCCGACAGAGCACCTCCTTCGTGGGTGCCCCCCACCCCCACAGCGTCCGGTATGGTCACACTATGGTGGCCTTTGATCGCCACCTGTATGTATTTGGAGGGGCTGCAGACAACACTCTGCCTAATGAACTGCATTGGTAAGGCATGTCAGGAGTACTTATTGTAACACTTTACTTTTCCTTTTCCCCATCAATATTGATTTGTAAACATTGTCAGTACATAAAGAAGACAAACTGCTTGTTAAGGTATTGTCTGTGACAAATGCAGGCAGAGGACAATGTAGTAATGTGACAGACTATTATTTCTGTGATGTTTCAGTT